CGATACGCGTGCGAAGGTGCGCATGTCTTGTTTTCAACCTCGGTCACTCGCTCGCTGGATTTCGTGCTGACCGGTTGTGCGCCCGCGCGCTCCGAACGCTTGCGATCTTCGGCGTCACCGTAGCTCTGGCCGGCTGGGCTCGCCCTACGTCACCTTCTGCCGCCGACGACCTTCGACGACAGTGTAGCTGTGACTTACTGGACCTGCTCTACGCCATCTACAGACGCCGACAACATCTCTCGCAAGTGTACCCCGTCCTCGGACTCCAGTGACCGGGCTTCCATCTTTCCTGTCTCTCCTATCCCCTCAGTTTGTTGTTGCTGCTTCTTCTTTTCTATACCTTTACTTCTACCCTTTTTATCCCTTCTCACCCCCATCCCTTGTGAGCCCTGTGGCGGTGTCGCTCACTGAAGCAGACAATAACGGGGCTCACTTTTCTCTTCCTTTCTCTTTATTAAGAACCACTCGCGCGCAACCTCGGTGACCCAGTGTGCTTTCCCGACGCTTCTTTTGCACTTCTCGACAAGCAAGCAAGCAAGCACAACCTTCGGAGCCGTCAGTTCTCGTCAACTCGATCGGGCCGACCAGGGCCCGTACCCACTTTTTTTTTTTTTGGTGGGGTAGGGGTACCTTCATTATTCCTGTATACGCCCCTAGGGCCGACTAATTACATTTCGTAGGTTTTATTTCTCTTGTTGCTGTCTCTGACGTGTCCGTGCGCTGTCTGCAGCAAAGGTAGACCTTGGTCTAAGGAAGGGAATATACGCATTGGGCGGGACACAGACAGATTGCGAGGATGGGATAGCTGGTCGCATTTCACTTGCAGAGCTTACCCCGTTTGTTTCGTTTTCACGCCGTTACATCGCCCTCTTCGGGTAGCGAAAAAAATGGCAGCATATCCACGGAGTGAATGATGGAGAGTGGGGCGAAGAATTCGTCCGTCCATTCGTTCTTGCTTCTGTCCGTTCATGCGTCCATCCATGCATCTGTCTGTGTGTCCGTTCGTCCATCTATTCAACACTCCTAGTACCACCATCTCGCATCTTTTCATCATATATTCCCCATATAGAAGCACCGCCATCCAGCGGACATTCCAAGGACTAAACGAGAGGTGGCACACGCACACTTTCTTACGGCTTGCGCTTCGGGTCCACTTCCCCCCTTTAACCACCTCGAGTTCATGGTATATACTACTTCACTGTATTCATGGCACTGCGGCCGAACGCTCGCTAAACCTTTCGAAAACCAAGGAGGTTACGCCCAGCGAGTATGACGTAGCAAACTTTTTCAGTCAGATAGTGCTCAATGTACATGCCAATGGCTGCTAATGGGAAATGAGAGGCGGAGAATTCGGCTTTTACTTTCTTACGGCTTGCACTTCGTATCTACTTCCCATTTTTAACCACCTCGAGTTCATTCATGGTATATACAAGTTCATTGTATTCATGGCACTGCGGCTCAACGCTCGCTAAACCTTTCTAAAGCTAAGGAGGTTACACCCAGCGAGTATAACGTAGCAACCCTTTCTTGTCAGATAGTGCTCAATGTACATGCCAATGGCTGCTAATGGTGATCGCAGCCTGCGCGTTAACTAAAAGCCTAATGCTCCTGTCTCTCATTCCCCATTAGCAGCCATTGACATGTACATTGAGCACTATTTTTATTGTTCAACAACGCACAGAAGAAGTCTCTCACCGGCACCACCTTGGAGGTCAAAATGTTATACTTGTTGCATACTACGGGGGACGAACGGGTGCCGCTATAAGGAGCTTCGTCCCTAAAACTGCGCTTCCGATGCCGTTACCCTGCTACAGTATTCCTTTATGTACTGTCTTCCCGTTATGTGTTTTTCCGTCCCCGTTTTGTGTCTCTATATATCGCGATAATTAGTTTATACATTTCTTTAAGATGGTGATTGTCTCTTATTTGCGTTGGTTGTTTAAACTCGTTTTCTCGCTGCATTTATAATAAAAACGCCTAATTCCCTTCCCAATGAGGTGTCCCATGTGGAGGCCTCAGTACACTGATAGATATTAATAATGAGCAGTAAAGTGTGTGCAAGGAATGTATAAAGTGCTTTCACATTTACAAACTGCACCAAATATAACGAGCCCAAATTGAAGTTGTGTTTCTGAAGTAACGTTGAAGTACAGGCACATTGCACGGACAGTATCATCAGAAAGGATCGAGCCAGTCTGAAGTGATTGTATTTTCGAAAAGAAAAGAAGAAATTGCTTTAGAGGTTCTAACACTCTACTAGAAATAAGTAGAGCAATTAGTTCGACGTTTAGAAATGCGGTAGCGCGTTGACCAAAGTGTTACCTGAGCTTCACGTATTATTTCGTAATAGAAGAGCACGTATCGGCAGTTTGCACGAGATTTTCTTTTTGATGAATGTTTTTACGAGTGGGCCGGAATGGAGCGCGATCGCACAACTGGAGCGCGTATTCCACTTTCTTACATTCTCGATCCTGTATGCGCGTGTGTGTGTGGCGTGGTTCATTCGCACACGCTGCGTTTCGGGGTTAGGGCGCACGTTTAGTGCGGCCGCATTTTTTTGTTTGTTTGTTTGTTTTTAAACCTTCTTCATTGCACAAAAGACGCACTTTCGAGCAATTAAGCGTGTCCCACTTTATTTCTTAAGCAGTCTGTCGTTTCGTTCCTACCTAGTTTCACCGTTCACCAATGTGGGAGACCGAATTCAATCGCACTTTAGCCTCTGCAGTAGCTTCGCCGATTCTGTAACTTTGAAATCGTTCCAACGATTATCAATCAGAGTTACCAGTTCAGCTTTTAATAAGCTGATTTGGGAAGATCTTTTTTCGCCCAGTCGCTTGGCACGGTTTCTTTTCTGGGGGGGGGGGGGGGTGGCAGGGGGCGGATGAGGGCTTATGGGCATTCTTCTATTGAATATAGTTATTTTAGTGTTCATCTGTTCATCATTTTTCTGCCGTTTACTGATAGCGCGTTGGTCAATGACTGAGTAGTTCAGTGGCGAATCGAAACATGTGTTGTGATCATCAAATGACGTTAATCAATCACTGGTAAACGTCCATTCAACCGAATGAAGGCTAACCTGGAGGCAATGTTTTTTTTTAAGTGACTATATTATTTCGTTTACAGTTGTGCATACTTTCGCTGTACAAAGTAATTAGTGTTTTTTTCTCAGCTCCCCCTTGAATACGACTGTCATTTTTTTTCGTGTATGCAAGAATTTGCTAATATATTCAAGAATGGGAAAATGTATTTCAACTTTTTTTTCTTGGCCTTCGTGCTTTTTTTTGCTTCTTTTGTGATGATTATTCGCACGTTAGCTGGTAAACGTCTGGCAACACTGGTTTATATTTCAACGCTGCGGTTTTATTAGTCGCTTGCCGTTATAAATGCGGGATGCGGGCACTAAGCGGTGTCCCCAACTGGGAGACAGAAATAAGTGCCTCATTCTTCCTTCAACAATATATATATATATATATATATATATATATATATATATATATATATATATATATATATATATATATATATATATATATATATATATATAAGGGAAAGAAGTGTATACCTAGGGCTCGTTTTTCCGTGTATTAACACAATATTAATGAGATCTAACAGACAGTAATGCCAAGGAATGTACAGGGGAAGTTATTAGAACCAATGGAATGTAAATAAGAAGAAAGAAAAGTGGATGAAAAAATAACCAGCCGTGAGCATTGGATGAATTTTTTCATCCACTTTTCTTTCTTCTTATATATATATATATATATATATATATATATATATATATATATATATATATATATATATATATATATATATATATATATATATATATATATATATATATATATACCGTGAGTGTCTACCGTGACATGCATGCCTTTGGTTGCGACTGTGACACTGCAAAGCTACTGAAATGCCCATATGTTTTGCGTGGTAAACAAATGGCCTTTGTCCCCTTCTTCTGTCATCGTACGCATTGCCCTGACGACGAGATTCGTACACGCGTTGCTCGTGTGCCCGTGTTGGCGCATCTAAATTCGCCATGAGTGAACCTTCATCTGAGGGCTTGGATGACTGGGTGTGTCGTTTTATTTTTGTTTCGCCGCACATGATGAAGATGCCAGTGACCAGACGCGGGTCGCCATTAACGATTTACAGGGTGTTAAATTCTTCACACTGCGCGCTGGCTTGTCGCAGCAGAACGGCTAGCCGGCTGGCGCAGTTTTCACGTTTATTTTGTTCGCCGCCGGTGGTTTAGTCGCCCAGTGACTGTTGGCTGCTCAACCTTGGACGCTTGTTCCTCAAGACCTGCACACTCTACGCGCGTTATAAGGACACAAAGGAAAAACGCGATTTGTCAGTATGGGCCTTAACGGCCGAAGACACGCTTGAGCGCAGCAGTGAAGCTCGGCAGTTTCGTGCGTTTGCGGATGCACCGCCTGAGCAGCGCGCTTGTCCCATTCCAATGGGACTGCGCCAGCTATGGCACCTGTCCTCCCCTTCGTGAACACCGCCTGCTCTGAAAGCCGCGACGTCGATTACGCCGTGACGAGCTCGTTGTGATGTGGGTACTGCGCACGCGGTATGAGTGTTGTGTGTGTGTGCATCTGGATCGGTCGCGGCTGGAAGCGCTCGGCTAGCTAGCTCGAGCGGGCACAGCCCTCCTCCAAAACGCAAGCGGACTCGGCCGGCCGCATGCGTGCTGCCGCGGCTCGGTTCCGGACGCCCGGCGTGCTACGCTTCCGCGTGGATTCCGTTTTCTTCCTCATTTTATTTCTCGCACGTTCCTTGTTTTCATTCGATGCCTCGTACTACGCCGAGCTAAGGTCCCTAGATCTAGGGACCTTACGCCGAGCCGCCGACGTCGCTCCCTAGCGTCAACGCTCCGTAGCAGCGAAGCAGACGACAGGCTCGCTTGACCGCGCTGGCTTGCTCGGCGCGCGCCGGGCTCTATCGATTCGTGCGTGTCGACTTCGTAGTGCTCGCTTGGAGGCGGTGGGTAGCAGTCTGGGCCGCTGCAACGGCGAGTGCAGCGGAGGCAAGCCCTCGTCGTACTCCGCCCTGGCGCTGCTAATTCGTGCGCGAACCGGCCCCTCGTCAACTTTGGTTGCTTGCCTCCCTTCTTCGCGGCCAGTGCCGTCGTCGCGACCGGACTTTCGGGCGGCCAGCAGCCCCCGTCGTGCTTCGGAGGTCAAGCGCTTTTTTGAAGGCGTCTGGTCGTCGCGAGCAGACGACGCGCCGCTACGTCGATCTATCTCTCTTTCCTGCCTGCGTGAACGTCGACTTGGTGGTGCGGATGGCGAAAATGACAGGTGAGAGGAACGCGCTGATGGATCCACTAGCGACGACGTACGTGCGTTTCGACGGACGAATCGGTTCGATCAGGTTTATTCGTCTCCGCGGAATGTTGAACGTTCAATCCTAAGGTGCGCCGAAGGAAGGTGCTGTCGCGTTTGATTCGCCGTGACTGCACCTTATCGTCGGGCCAACGTTTGTATGTAGGAACGGGTGTTTCCTAAACCGCTCCGCGCGTGGTTGGACGTCCGTATTGTTGTTTCGGACGCGAAACTATACGGATTTGTCCGCATTTTCGGGATCTCAGCGGATACCCTCTTAAATTATTGTTGAATGGCCCTTTCTCGGAATATGTTTTGGCAAATTGAATGTTTCTCGCACACACGTCTGCGACACGGTTATTCTGACATCGCGCGACGGTGCCTGAATTTGGTGCAGTACGAAGAAACTCCGAGACGGCGGAAGGGTTGGAACCAACCGCCAGCCGGGATCACCCCACCCTCTTCTTTCCTTGGCACCTTCATTCTTCGTCCGCACCCCTGCGCCTAAACGTCTTGGCACGCGCCGGCGGTCGCTCGACGTCAGCGCTGCGTTGGCCGCGCCGGTTCATTCATTATGCGTCGGCGGGATCGTTGCCCGGTCTGGCCGATTCTCCTCCGTTCAACCGAATCAGTTATTTCTGCGCGACTTTTCGCAACTGGCGTTCACTCGAATATTCTCACGAATGCGTTGTTGCGATGGGACGGTACGAATTTGTAAAGCATTTTACACCCACTCGGCCGCAGCCGCTCGTTCATCTTTCGGGTGGGCGACGACGGGCCGCGCCTGTTCCTGTACGGGCTACGTGAATATCCACGTGATGACCCTGACTGCCGCACGTGATGTGCATTGGTTTAGCTCGCCGTCGACATAATCGCGTGTGGGGGCCTCGAATATTGTGTGATGCAGACCGTTCGTGTCCTGTGCTGTTTATCTTCTCCACGGTAGTCGACTTGACTGGCTGTTAAGCAAAAATGCCATTATGAAATAGGTATAGATAGATGAGGCAGGACCACTTTTAATTTCGCTTAGAGCGCTAAAGTCGTAAAGTTTCGCAATTGAATTTACACCAACATTCTGGTAGAGAATAACTAGGTATTATATCATTGGTGTAGCAGAAGAAGAAGGGTGTTAGCATTGGTCTGTTTCCTCTACCCTTCAATCCCTACCGAAAAAGAAATGACCTGTGCCTCTGTCTCATAAGCTGTGTGTTCATTAAAGAAACTAGGATTAACTGAGCAAAAGAAAACTGTGTGGTACATTAGCCATCATAGACAGCTACAGGGGCGAATGGGGGGTTTGAACTCCACTCGAATTTTTTAGTTTGTCTGTACACACTTGCACACATACATAAGCACACACATCGAGATTTATTCTCCAGAAATAAAATCCAGGCTATGCTCCTGTCCATTATATATGTGTCACATGGTTGTGACGAGAAGAATCAGTGTGAATCGTCTACGACATTCAAGGAATGTACTCATACATTTTAGGCATGGCTTGCACTGATTGATAACATGTCTAAAAGCTTTAGTCAGTGAAACTCAATTGCTGTGAAAAACTTGCCGGCGTATTATTATTACACAGAGAGTAGTTATCTCAAACGCGGTGCTTAATCAGCATAACAGTGCTCAACTGAACAACACAGTGAGACGTATGCTGTTACCACAATCTACAAGCAGAGGAAGGAATTCTGCTTCCCAGTTGGTTAATAAAAGGAACCAGTAGACCCCTGAACTTTGTTTCGACTGGTTTCCAGCTGGTTCAGTCAGTGCCAGTAGGAACTAGTGATATTTTCAGTTGCATATTTTCACCTGGGAAAAGAGTTGTGCAGTGTATTGGCAAATGACGTTGTGCACCTGCAAGCAATGTGATTATTGGATGGACCTTTTGGTATAACAACATAATACTCTGAACAGCTCAAGAGCAGGAGTGAGACAAGAGCAGTGCATATGTCATTCTTTTTCCCTGCCTTAATCACATTTGCACATGACTTATCATATAACATCAATCATGTTTATTGAGAATGCATGTAAAAGCAGTCCACAATGCTATGCGGGGTTCCTTTAGAGATGCTCCACTAAGAGACTTTGTTGCCAGTATCTTAGTATTACCTTCAGTGTAAAGTGTTCTTTAATTGGAAAGCTGAGCATTCTTAAAGTAAGGCAGCCTCGACAGAACAACGCAGGTACTTAGATACTTCTTATTTGAATGAGTGTTTGTCACTTGCAGGTGTTCTGGAGCACTACAGCCACTGACAATTGCCTTAATCAAGTTTCACAAAGTACCACTAGATGTAAATATTAATCACAAAATCAGATGCCATTCACTGTTTCAGTTTTTAATTGTAATCACGAAATATTTTGCTGCTGATGATATCAATCTTAGTTTTTTATCTTCAGTACGGAAGCCTGCACATATTTTTTCTAATTTTTTGTTCAATTCATTTCTTGAAGTCAGTAGTAGTAATGTTATTGTTGCAACTGTTGGCGAGATTCCTGTTAGGAAAATTGTTGTGTTGTCAGACGGAAAAGCTACTAGCTGGGCCCTTGAAATGTAGTGATATGTGCCTGATTTGAAGCTTGCTTTTTGTGTCATACGAAATATCATGTTCCTACTGGAAATGCCTCACACCACCAGTAATGAATTAATTTTACGGAAGTTGTGAAATCATGTAGTTCAATCGCATAGTAGCTGAAGGAATGTGCTAAAAAAAAAAAGATTCTAGTTGATTGGCATGGCCTTGCATGCCAGTGACACTTTGCTGCCAAAATCATGAGAAGCTGCTGGTCATGTCACATGATAATCTGATTTTTGAAACACAACTGAATGATTCCTTTAATTTTTCCCTGAAGAGTATGTGACTGGTTGGGAATTTATCACGTGTAGTTTGTTTTTTTTCACCAGACTGTCACTGTGCAGTAGATTCCTTGTCACCTTTGGGCAAGCACCAGCTGTGGTTCAAAAGTAGAGGTGTGACTGTCTCCAAGCAAACAGATAAATATTTCACTGCATTTAGATTGTTTCCAGTTTCAGTATTCCTTCCTTGTGAACTGGCCACAGTTGTCTACTGGTTATGGTGCTCTGTTGCTGACCTGAAGGTTGTGAAATCAAATCCAAGCTGCGGCAGCCCCATTTTGGTGGAGCCAGAATTATAGAGGCTCGCATGCGTAGATTTGGGTGCACGATAACTCTTTGTGGTTCATTGTTGTTCCGCGCTACTGGACACGTTCTTTCACAATTGATTCACGTGCGTGCTTTATCAGGACGTTGTGTGCCATCTGTGAAAGAGCAAGTAAACTTTTTTCACTTGAACTTTGGGCCATCTAGTTTCAGACCAGAACGGATGGAACGTGGAAAAAGGTGTCGACCGCAAAGTGTTAAGAGGACCCTAGGTGGTCGAAATTTCTCGAGTGCTCCACTATGGTGTCTCTCATGATCATGTCCTAATTTTGGGATGTAAAACCCAACAATTACTTCTTTCTTGTGGCCTGGTGGTCATTTAGTCTGGCCTTTTATGCAGCTGACCCCATTCAAGCCCCTTGTACGTAGCCGTGGCTGGCCTGCAGCGATTAACAGTTCCCTAACACCACTTGATCGAGTGGTGCGTGCGTGTCGCTCAGACCGGCACACCGATGGGGCCATGGCGGGCGGAGCAGCACAGCAGCAACGCAGGTGTGTTTCTCTTTGTCGGACAGTTCAAATTAGGATGCCTCATGTCTGTCTGATGCACATGTATCTTACTGCACTCTTATTTCTCGCTTGTACTTGCTTCTATAAATTGAAATCCGTTGACTGTGCTGCTGTTCGCACTGCTGCAATTGTTTCCCCGCGACTAAAAGTATTATTCTTCGATGTTCAATGATGCCTGTAACTTTTTTTAAATTGAATTGCTTATTTTCAACATAATACATGTCGAGGGACAGTACGGCTAAAGGCAAAATTGACTGCCTGACAATGGCCCTATCACCCAAGCACTGTCCAACAGGGTTGTGACTATCATTAAGGAATTATGCGCTAGAAAGCAGAAGCTCTGCATGGAAATAAAGAAAAAGAAACGTGACATAGCACTATTTGCAAGGGATGACGACATACATACAGGAATAGTACAATTGAGTTTTTTTTTTTTTTTAATAATGTAACAGGTCATAAGCCACATGATGTTAGAGGTCGTACTCAAATCATGAAGGCACGCAAGACAGCAAATATGATTTAACAACACGCTTAAACAGGGATGTTGACGAAACTTCATACATATTGATAAGTACTTGCAGATGTTGGTTTAAGAAACTAGGGATCATGTATTTAAGTTGTTTAGTGCCGTATTTTATTCTGCAAAGCGGAACTTCGAGGTGACTATGTCGTAAACTATATGGATTGCGGTTAGTCAAGTACATGTGTGTAAACATAAATTCGTTTTGACGCATCTTTTTGTGTATGTATAGCAAGTTTGAGGTTGTATAGCTGATCCACTTTTAATATCTCATTTTTTAAAGAAAAACGATTCTGTATGGTCAAGCCATGCAAGGTTTTCTATGTGTCGAACAGGTTGTTTTTAGAGGACTGTCAGCCTACATGAGTTTGTTTTGCTTGTAGTACTCCAGACTAAGAGGCAGTAATATAGTTGAGAATGTAAGAGTGTATAGCACAGCTGACGTTTTAGCCAAGTCGGAACCAGATGCCGGATACTATAAAACGCTCGATTGGACCTGGAGATGTTAGTACGTAGTTTGTTTACGTGATGAGTCCAGTTTAATGTTCTTTGAACAATACTACCAGAAACTTAAATACAGATACCCGTTCAATAGCGCAAGCATCAAAATGAAGAGAAAGGTCAGTGTCATCAGGTTTATTCTTAGGCTTAAAAACAATGTATTTCGTTTTAGTAACACTTAACTGAAGTTTGTTGAGAGACAACCAAATCAGCAGCTCGTGCAGCCAATTGTTTGCCGCTATTGCCAAGTCAGCTAAATTATGACTTTGCGGCGGTTTACTCTTATTCAAATACTTGGTCCCATTACTCTTCTTATTTTGACGTAATTCTTAGTTCTGTTTTGGGTGTTTTTTTTTACTCTTAGAGGTACACTGAACAGAAACATGCTTTTTTGTGTATTAGGAAGTACAATTTCGCAATCTCAAAAACACCATTCCTACCGTGATACGACACTTGGTAAGCAAGAAAACGCGCAAAAATGCTGGTGGAGACGCCGCTTTGCGATTCCCATACCAAGCATCGTGATGTCACAGATTCTGAAGGTGTCTTTTAGGTCCTATGTCACTTTTGGTAAAAATGTAATACGCTGTTGTCTGTGGGTGCCACAGATTTAGCGTACGAAATTTCAGAAAACTTCATCGAGCCAATATCTCGAAAGTAAGAAAACTAAATTTTGAAATTTCTGACATCTCGTGAGGAAATTTCGGCAAGAAATTTAAAAATGAAACTTTAACCTTGATTTTTTTCTGCTAATAATGAACTTATGGTAGTGGAACTTATGGAATTAGAGTTCTGAGAGTGCAGTTCAATCAATATAAACAAGGTCATTGTTTCTACTTAGTGTCCCTTTAAGTTTTAGTGGAGACCTGGGTGTCCATGCTAATAATACACTTCTTTGTAGTTTTTGACCCTCTTAGTCATGTGCACGCGGCTGTAGTTGTGCCATAGTTGTTTACTTTTGTAGAATCTTATGGGTTTTTTTTTTCTCCCTATGTATGTGCACTATTGCTATCTATAAAAACATCCAGGCCTATACTTATTTGAATGTCGAACTTTTGTGGATGCACAGCTATATTATATGTCTCTGAATTTCATCTCAAAAATTTACCAATGTTGGCTGTTCTATGTTGAATTGGCTGAGCCTGTTTCATTTCTAGTTAGGTAGGGGAAAGCAAAACGTATTGTTACTTGTGAGGTATTCCTTGCACATTGGGCTTGTTAGCTTTTCCCCACCCTTACATTGTCATAGGCCAGAACCTTAGTCTTTTAAATGACCCATTTAGTAAAGTCCCATGCGCACTAGCACCAAGCCTGCAACGTCAGCGTGCTGGTGCTAGGTGCTTCTGAACATTGGCCACACGAAGTGTCCAGAGTGCACCGCAGGTTTCGCTAGAGAGGCATTGACGTGACACACTTGAGCCTCTCGGACTTCCTGCCTTAACATGAGACGTTGAGGTGTTCCGTGCATCTGAAATTGGCAAACATGCTCAGGGGAAACATTGGAGCAATCACTAAACTAAGTAGGTGATGCAGGAACCATGGTGACCACTCTTTCGTCGCTGGTGAGCCACGTTACTGTGCTGCTTTCACAGAACGTAGCTTCCACAGAACATAGCGAAAATGGATCCTCGAGCCATTCTTTCAATGGTAAGAGAAACTTCATGTGCACTAGCAAAACAGCCTGCACACAGCAATTCACCATGGCAGGTTTTGATTTTAAAAAGACTTCTGGCAGTGCATTTTTGCCACCTCGTCAAAGTTTGCAGTATCGGCAGTTTTCAGTTGTTTTTTTTTCCTCACTGTCTTTTATTGTGTTCCCTTCATTTCATTCTTGTCAAATATGACTTGTATTGGGAATGTGAATTTTCAAATTTATGGGCAGTGTGTGTCACTGCCAAATAAAAAAAAAAGCATTGAGAAACAAATAACAACAGATAGGAAGACTATGCTACGAGAACTTTACTGATAAGTAAAAACACCACAGATTGTGTTGCAGCCTTTTCCCTTGCTTGTTTCTTCAATGCTTCTCTTTTTAACAATGAATTACCAACTCTACCTGTAATCCATCCTTCTAAGCTATATATAACGATGTGTGTGGGTATTTGCTGTGTACAGGTGTTCGCTGAGCAAGCTGCGAGGCACTGCGCTGTGTGCCTTCAGCTTTGGCAGCTGGGGCAGTGGCAGTGGCGCTGGGGGTGTCTCGGGGCCCCCCGAACTGCAGCCATCGCACGGAGGCAGCACCAACCTTCTCAGTGGCAGCTGGGTCTTCTACAGCGGAGGAGCTCCCTCCTCGCCTGTGGCCTCACTGCTACAGCCTGGAAAGGCAGTCGTCACCGTCGATGCCTCTACCACACAGGTGACAAAGCACAATTAACCTTCGAAGCTACACATCTTTGTCTCAACATGGAGCGGTTAAATTGTATTTGCGCAGCGGGAAACTCCTCCAAGTGTTAATGTGAGGCATGTTTCAAGAGTGTAATCGTAGAACCTATTTTACGCATAAAGTGTTTGCACGAATCCTACCTGTAAACAAAATTGCATTCGTGGTGTAGTTACCTTCACGACAACCGGTATATTAGTTATAACTGTAGGGTATTCGTTACATGCTGATGTTGGAGAAAAACATTCTTTGTTTACTCCATTACTTTCAATAACTGGCCTGACCAGTATTCATTATGGTGCTCTACCTTCACATAGTAACATAGGTCAAGGTTCAGCCATGTCTTTTAGTCATGACGACTCCGTTTATTTTTCTTGGCAGAAATAAATAGTTATTAGGTCCAGTATTCTGTATGTAAATGGTAGAAACTCTGATTGCTGCTGCTGAGACTTACAGTTTAACAGACATGATGGAAAGCAAGCTTTACCCCTGATTTTTTTTATTCAAGTGCTGCAAAGTGGGACATTCATTGGACTCGTATTTGCCTCCTATGAAGTCAAATGAAATTTCTTGCTCTTGAAAATACTGTGAAATCGTTTTGTGTCGAGAAGCAGAGCTTTATCGTAGCCTTAGTGTACATTTACAAAAATGGTAAGAACTCAGAATCATTGAAAAAAAATTTCCAAATTGAGACCTGTGACCACCCAGTAATGTGCACGGTGCTGTGCTGGCGCATTGAACTTGATCAAACTTCCACTGAGCTGATGTAGTTCAGGCCCGTCACCGGTGCATTCCTCCCCGATTGCAGATCCTGACGGCCAACAAGGCAGCCTGTGCCCTGTTGGGCGTTTTGAGCACGCAGGTCAGCAGCCGACGTCTGTCGGAATTCCTAGCCATGAAGAAGGGCCAGTACGCTCTCACCGAGGCCGACGTCGATGCTGCCGGGGAGGTGGTTGTCATAGCTGGCAAAGTGGTAAGCATTCTCAGGATTTTGTACTTGGCTGTGGTGGTAGGTTCTCTGGTTTGATGTCCATATTTCTAGAATGAAATCCCGCCTGGTGCAGCCTATAACTAGTTGCTGTACCTGCCATTCATGTTTTAATGTGCTAAAACTTCTGCTTATTCTCATGCGTGCACCCCCCCCCCCCCTTTTTCTTTTGCAAAGTTTGTGGGGTTTTTTGTGTTGACATTTTATGATGGACTCTTGTCATCTATTTCTTTTTAGATGGACCTCATTGACAGTGATGGGAAAGTGGTGCCAGTTTCGGTGTGGGTCCGTAAGCTTGATTCCGACTCTGAGCCACGATGCCTGGTCGTCATGGAACCTGTGCAGCGAACGACTGCGGTGGTCACATTTGACTCTGCCAAGGTATGCTTTTTGTCTCTACTCTTGGCCATTATGTCTCCAGCTAATTCAGTGCCAAAATTTTTCGAATGGCACTTGACGCACTTTGTTGATAAAATCGACCGAAATTGTGTCAGACTGTGCTGATACAAAGCTCTAAATTTAATCTTCATCTAGTTGCAGCAATTGCATGGTGAGCATGATAAAATGTGCATACCTGACCAGTACTCTGCCACACATATACATTCAAACATTATATAGATAGATATGCTGGGTTTAACGTCCCAAAACCACCATATGATTATGAGAGACGCTGTAGTGGAGGGCTCCAGAAATTTGGACCACCTGGGGTTCTTTAATGTGTACCCAAATCTGATCACACGGACACTCAAACCTTGGTGTAACGATTTCAGATATAACGAAATATCGGTTATAACGAAGTAAGTTACCACTAGCTTTGCCATACATACATTGCTACAAATAATTGTTCGTAATAAAGAATTTTCGTATATAAAGAAGCATCTTCATGACAAATGTGACTTTGTTATAACGAGGTCTGGGTCTATTTTAAATGAATCATTCCCATGTGCTTGTTGACCAAAGGTGGTGTACTGTTAGATGGGCCCCGAAAGAGAAAGGGTAGCACTAGAGGAGATAGACTTGCCCAGGCTAGCTGAGGGATGTCACACTCCCTCACAGCTTCCTACTGAGATAGCTAGCTTGGAAACGAAAATTTGCCCTAAGCCGCTCGCTGTGATGCTTAATCATGCAAAGCATATATGGTACAGTTGAGCCCCTTTATAAGAGGCATGCTCCGGGCAGCAATTTTTGTCTCTTATATGAGATGTCTCTTATAAGCAGGGTACCTCGTATGCATTGCTTCATCAACTGTAGGCACACTGGCCTTTTTTATACCCATGTGTCTCTTATATCAGTGTTTCTTATAAAGGGGTTCGACTGTACAATGGTAGTGTGTTAGTGCACAGTGTCAACCCATGTGCTTAGCATGAATGGAACAATCCATTCGGGATGTTTGAAAAATTATATATGCATATGTACAAGTGTTCTCCATTAGGCAGTTGCAGCCAAGCTGAGAAAAGTTTGGTATGCAACAGTGAAAATTCATATAACATGAATATTAGCATAAAAGTAAACACACTCAAACCTCAGTATAACAAAGGCGTATCTTACGCAAAAATAAGTTTATTATATCCAAAAATTTGTCATAATGGTATACTTTTAACACTATATCTATTCCAAGACAATTTTTCATTTACTTCATTATAACCAATATTTAATTATATCCTGGTTTATTACATTGAGGTTTGAGTGTACCTATAAGTGATCAGCAGCATTCCTGCTAGGCAAAGCTGACATCATTTACAGCAAGGCAATGAAAGCATAAGAGATTGTGAATGGTTTTTGTTTGTTTGGACATTCATTTTGAACTTGTACATACTCTCGCAAATTCGTTAGGACTGGGGAGTTCTTCAAATATTGCTAGTATTCAACTTGGTAAGCTTTTTTCTTTTTTGTCCCTAGGGGCAGATATTAACTGCAGACAAGAGCCTGGCTGCATTGTGCGGGTATTCAGATGGTGCGGAACTTGAAGGAACACTCATTACGGACATTATTCCTTCGCTTCTGCTGCCCACCTGTGAGGATGGCGTGGTCAAGGTAAGTTCACGTTTAACTCCTCGAGTATGGTAGTTGGTTGTTTTTCTTTCTCGCTGCCAGCATTTCAACCTCATCGGTTCGAATTTTGGTCGGGGTAAGGGAGGCCTCTGCAACAGCAACTGTGAGATCTTTTACTGGCAATCCAAATAATACGCATACCGATAATGTGTGAAACTAGGCTGTGTGGCTTGATCACATCACATTTCTTCATTTCCTCTGACAGTATTTTCACAGCTCAAGCTAGCCAACAGCACCAAAATGGGTTTGTGAACGTACGAAATACTTAATAATATTCTATTTATTTAGCTGTAATCGGTTGTATGTTCTCACGGATCTTATACTTTCCATGTTGTTGTAGTGGTAGACTACATACACAATCAAATAAAGTGCAGCCAGCAAAATTTGTGGTTTACCTCGTTGTATGCAATCATTTAAACCTCGATATAATGAACTCAGATGTAATGAAATATTGATTATAACAAAGTAAACAAAAACGTCTTGTCATAAATGTAGTGTTTGGAATAAACCTCCATAACGAATATTCAGATATAATGCACTTATTTTCATGTAAGATGCAACTTTGTTATAATGAGATGCTAGTGTATTTGTGTTCATTGTGGCAAGGCTCAGCTGTGCCTGCTTGGTTGAATTTTTGTTATTTCTGCTGCAGCTGGTACGCAAGCAGCAAGCAACGGGACGCACGCGAGATGGCAGCACTTTTCCCCTGAGCATTCTGCTCGAGCCCGTCTCCCCCGACGATCAGGGCGACTCGAGCGTATGCAACAGCCAGGCAGGCACCACCGCAGTCGACAGCAGCCCAGTAGCGCCCGTTGCAAGCGTGTACCGTGGAGTGGTGTGGGTGTTTGCCAACATCAGCGGCATGATCACGGTGCTACCGGACGGCTCGATACATTCTTGCAACACAAACTTCTCCCTCATGCTCTTCGGCTACACCCAGAACCAGCTTCAGGGAAAGGTGCCTCATTTCTGTTTCATTGCTGCTGCCATCGAAAAACCTCGCCTTTCAGAGTCACCTGAGAAGCAGATGGTTTCTCAAATAATTCAGCAGATTAGTTTCAAACGCATGCATCAAAATAGCTCATCAACACTTTTCTGCATTGTCAGTTAAGCTTCAAGTTAATCAGTAGTATCTGTAACTAGGCTGGTATATGGGGATACTGTAGAAAAAAAAGAGGAATAGAATTCATTTTCCTCTACAGTGTCTCTTTAATACCAAACCTTGTAGTATGGTTAGTGACTACCAAGAATGACATAAAGGAGGCCATAAAACACTTCATGTTAGTTCTTTTTTGGAACTGTAGGACTTGCACATATTTTTGTGCAACAGAGTGGCACTTGATTAACAGTAACTGCACAATCTTGTTCAGATTGCCAAACTCCCTATGCATTTCCATCCAACCAAAATACTTCTGGAGCATGGAATAGAAGAGAAAACTCAATTTAATAACAGTCTAGGCATTTGTCCTCAAACAGAAATGTTTAGTGGGTACTTTTCTGTGTGATGACCACATTACTGACCTGTATGCCTTGATGAACAAAGAAATAAAGAAAAAAGTTTTTGAAAACGTCAGTACCATGAAAACTTTGTCTGCATGCATGTTGTTAAATCAAGTATGCAGTGGCTTTCATGTATTCTGTGAGTTTTAATCTCTCTTCCGTGGCAATATCATTGAACCTTGCAGTGGCATTCTTTTAACATGAGACGACACTATTCTTGTAATTTGTCAAATCGACAGAGGCTAGTGTGTTGACTATAATGCTTAAAGACTTAAATTTTAACGTAGTAGCATCAAAGCATTATGAAACAACTTTAACACCATTGCACAATGGTACATAATTCGCTATAGCAGTAATGAAATATTTTTTATTATAGATTTCTTTACAAATTTCATCTATTTAAGCTTCAGAAATGCTTTTAAGGCACATTCTCTTTGCTCTGGGTCTCACCGATTTTAATTTGTCTCTGTGCAGCACATCACTGTTGTGATACCCACATTCTATGATGACTTTGAGTACCTGGACACGGATTCAGTTCCACTGCCCCCGTTGGACGACGACGAAGAAGACTCTAGGGCATGTGCTTTCCTCGATGAGCGACCTGATTCAGACACCACAGAGCTGTGCCGGTATGTGTTTCACTGGCTTTATAAGCAAGCATAGGAAAATTGGAGGACTCGTGCAGCTGCAAATTAATCCCGAGCAGTAACTGAACGTGTCGTACTGCATCTAACTACAGCCTAGGTGGTGTATATTTTCCTTGTCTACATAATGTGTTAATACAACTGTGAAGCATAGTGAAGCAGTGCTTTCATGTTATTGCAACTGTGCACCTAATAGGAAAGTTTATTTTTGTGGGCTTACGCAATTTACGTTAAGGTTACTGGGCACATGGTGTGTGTATAGTTGAATTGGTTTCAGCAAACCATATAGCTTGAGTTTGCACCTAAATTTAAGTAGTGTTTAAGTAGTGTGACATACTTCGTAGCGGCCATCATTTATTTGCGATTTCCCCTGACTATATTGTGAGCATTATTCATGCGCTTTATCTTCTCATCTGGCCCCACCGTGGTGGTCCAGTGGCTAAGGTACTCAGCTGCTGACCCCCAGGTTGTGGGATCGAATCCCGGCTGTGGCGGCTGCATTTCGGATGGAATCGGAAATGTTGTAGGCTCGTGTGCTCAGATTTGGGTGCACGTTAAAGAACCCCAGGTAGTCAAAATTTCCGGAGCCCTCCACAACGGCGTTTCTCAGAACTATGCGGTAGTTCTGAGACGTTAAACCCCACATATCAATCAATCAAAATCTTCTCATCTGTACATACTCATCATCACCACTTAGGCCTGCGTTGTGGGAATCTGGCTCGGTCAATAAATGAAGAGTCTTGTGTCCTCAGTGTGCTCTACAATATCGACATACTTAAGGTGAACCCTTGTTGATATCATAACTGCATTAGTGACAAGTAACTCATGTGCTAGAGATAGCTGTCTGAAAAAACAATCAAAAGCAGTCAAAAGAGGTTCAACATTACCCAGCAGCAACTCGCCACCTGCTCGGTCATGTGGCTCGACTAATGCATTCATTGCTCATGGGTTCAGCCCTGCAAACTGTGGAGCGTGTGAGTCACATAGTGTCTGCTCAAGTTGGCACCATGCTTGGAACAGTTTGTGGCATAGTGTGTGAAAGTGTGGTGATACGCTCAAGTTAAATAGAGGTCCATAGTTCCTCAACACATTCGTGTTACCTATGCTGTCAGATTGTGCTGGCAACATAGTGCTTGTCCCTTGTATGGCTTCTGACTATGGTAAACTAATTCACACAGTAGCTTGAACACTTCGTTTGAACAAGAACATAGACATTCCTGCAAACTTTTTGACGAGAAAATGAACGGAGGAGGCTAAAGATGGTCAAATGCCCAAGCAATTCTTCATTTTAGATAGCGAATGAACGAATGGAAGTGGATTGCTTGGGGGACAAGTTCCTTTTTTCGATGCAACCTACCGAAACCAATAAAAGCATGGGAAGCATTATGGGTAGCTTTTAATTACACTGTAGTATAATTGGGAAAGAAGGGAACATTCAGGTGTACAATATGACACATCGCAGTGGCGACAGCTGTGCCCACAAGCTGTTGTACAGAAGACATTTTCTTTTTTTCATCAGGCCACTTAACCCACTTGGGAAACCCTTTTCTCCGAGGGGTGGTGGTCAAAGGCGAAGCCACGGTGGCAGCCGGAGCAGCTCCGTCGCCGGCGACGACCTTCCTCTGCGTTTGCAAGATCTGAGCATGACCGGTTCCGTCATTGGCTCCATTTCTGGTCGGTCGCTTGGCGTCTTTCAGAGGTCGACATCAGCAGCCGAACCTTTGGCTCCAGTGCTTGGGCCCTCGGGAGAAGGCCAAGCGTCGAGTGCGTATGGCGACCTCAACGGCAATAACGTAGCATCATCCTCGGTAGACAGCCCGAGAAGAATTCCTGGCTCAAGGCTGAAGGTGAGCTTGCAGAGTGGTTGGAATAAATGCTGACATGTTCTCACCCCGACATGAGGCAGCAAGCTTAGCTTTGTTGTAGGATTTTGTGTTGCTCTGATGGTACTTCTCTAGTGCGTAGTGCACTCTGTTCAATACTACAGATAGTTACAACTGAAGAACAAATATAACCTTGGCCAACAGCCGTCCCTCCCACGGAAAATTTAAGAGCTGTTTCATCTACGTACATTTGCTCATTTTCCAGCAGTTATTGTGCAGTTTAGGTAGTTGTTTTTCTTTTAACGGAGAGATGTTCGTTCCGCTGTGTTGAGGCCGCAAACTTGAAAGCATAGGTCAGCGAACTCAGTCAAACTCGGATCAAGCAACGAGTTTGAGCCTGAGTGAGTCCGAGTGAGTAATGTTTCGATGTGTTTGAGTTCGAGTGGGTCCGGCACAGGGAAATTTTGGTGAGTGCAAGTCCAAAGCGCAAGATACTTAAATGAGTGAGTCCCCCTTTTTTTTCTGACCTAAGCTTGAAAGTCATGGTAAATATTATGAGGTATTCCGACATAGTTGATCAGCCAAACTCGATGCGTTAGACATGAACAACGGTTAATTTAAAGTGTGCATATTATTTACATTAGCATAGAAGGAGTACTTGCTGGGCTTGTGCTAATAGTAAATTTTAGGTTTGAAGCGAATTCAAAGGGAATAGTTATTTCGCTAAAGCCTTGTATCGAATTTGAATATTATGTGAGATGTATGGTAAAGAAAATTGCACATAATTGTGGTGACCTAACTACCCTGCTCAATATTTTTCTAATTGAAAGAAGGCATGTGCAGATGTCATTCTTATTGGTTCAGAGGAACTGGAAGCAATTAAAATATTGGCAGGATTTTACTTTTGTTCAAATTCGTGTGACAACCTGCAAAATATGCTACGTTTTAAAATTTACTATACTGAAAGCATATAAGCCAACATAACAAACTTTTAAACTTAAAAAAATTGATGCAAGGGTAATATGTTCATCTAACTATGAAACGGGGCTTGGCGACAGTGTGGATTTTTCTTGGAAAGATGTATTTACGGTAGAATACCGCCTTACTTCAGTGAAACCACTTTTACAGGGGTTACATGAACACTAATACGCATCTATTCGTTCATTTATTTCGAATACTTTGAAATTTCTAATGATTTAATTTTCAAGTGAAGCACATTCGAATATGTTAATATTTCTTGGAATATTCAAAGTGCTCGATTATTCATACAAGCTTAGTGTTTACGCTTTGAATGCAACCGAACTCGCACAGCTGCTTTGCATAGTTGTGTAGCAGCTGTGCCACAGTTCCGTGGGTGGAGCCTAAATTTTTTTTAGGTCATTACTGACTGTGGTACTATTGTAATGTGCTGATGCCAGTTTTAGTGTTACTGTTTGGAGGAAGGTCTTGATAGGGGTCATTGCAACTGAACAAATGTTGTGTGTATTGCCCAGAGCTCGCTGAGTGCTGATGTCCTAGGCAGCCCATTGCTTCGTGGCGAAGGTGATGTCTCTGTTCTGACTTCGGCTGCCAAGAGCAATCAGCAGCAGCAGCCGCCGCAACAGCAGCAACGCTTTGGTGCAACCGTAGAAGATGAAAGTTCGCTAACTACAACACGCTCCCTGAAGGACCTTGCTGAAGAGGAGGAAGAGGCTGAGAATGACTTGCTGCCATTGGGTAAGTTTGCAGTCTTGGGTATTCAACCCCTGCAGTGTGCATGTCTCATGCCTATCCGCCCTTCTCAGCACCACTCACTTCATTTTCAGTTTATCGGTCATAGAGTGGACTTCTCTTAAACAGAACTCGGAAGGAGCAAGAAAATTTGTTCCATTTATGAGAAGTTTCATATTTAAGCAAAGCCCACAAAATTATTGAAATATGACTTTATTTCAAAAGCTCCAACAATGGCTGAGTAAAAAAAAAACATTTTGAAGTATACAATACTGCTATAGTTGATTATAAAAAAAACTTTGCTAATATATTACTGACTTGGAAAAAAGGAGGTGATAACAGTTTGCTTGGCTTTGTTCAAGCATTTTTTCACAATGTAAGAGTGCATGGCCGAAAGGCTGGGCAGGAAATCTGTGCCACCATTGTGTTCAAAGTAGCGCTACAACAAGATGACGGTATCTCTTGCTGCATTGTCCGCCACTGCGATGGGCTCAGGATCACACACACCATCTCATCACCACTTGAGCACGGGTCCTCATCTCGAACTTCAGCAACAACTTCTTCAAGACTGTCCTCGCGGCATGTGGCGACGTTTTCATCAAGTGTTTCATAGTCCACTCGCGTGAAAGAAGTAGACTTTGTCACCTGACTGAAGAGAATCTCAGCCTCGGCAATGTAATCTTGGTCATCTGGAAGGACTTCTTGTCTTAAAAATCCTGCATGGTGGAAGCACCTTTGCACATTTGACACTTCCACACATTCACAGGCATTGGTTAGAATGTGAAGAGCTGATAGCAAGTTCACATTGTAATCTTTTTTGTTGTCTGCACAAAGAAGCATTCGCTGGAGGACTTGGCGGCAGTAGAGAACCTTCAAGTTTTGAATTATGCACTGGTTTATCGGTTGAATATTGCAGTCGCATTTGGTGGCAGGAACTCTAGGCTGATCTATTTGAGCCTGTCGTCTTGATTGTGAGCAGGGCATTGAACAACAATAAAAATAACCGTTCTGTTTTGCTGGGTAAATCTTCTATCCTCTTTGCGCAACCATGTCTTGAAGATTGCTTGTGTCATTCAAGCTTTCCCGTTCGTGTGGTACGTGACAGGCAGCACAAGCACACCTTTGAAACAGCATGGGTGCTTTGATTCCCCACGACTAACATCTTCAACTTTTCGCTACCGTTCATGTTGGCACCTAGTAGCACCGTAATACGATCTTTGCTTGACTTTCCTTCCGCACAGGTTTCGCCCTTGTAAGCAAGAGTTTTAGTAGGGAGTGCTTTGTAAAACAACCCCATTTCATCAACATTAAACACGGCTCGTTAATCGTAGGCTTCCAAAATTTTTTGAAACCTCCCCTGTTGCCAGTGACTACAAATATCTCTATTTAAGCCGCACTTTTTCCAGAAACTGTCTTAAAGACAAGACCATGCCGCTTTTTAAAAAGGGCTCAGCCAGCCATCGCTCGCCTGGAAGTCCTCAATTCCCATCTGAGTAGCAATCTCTTTGGCCTTCTCTTCCAAAATGGGGCCGCTGATCGGGAAGTTCGCACTGCGCACTTGCTTTAACCAGAGGAAAAGAACATCTTCGATTTCTTTGTATGCCGTCGTTCTCATCTGCATTCTGTTCGTAGCAAAGTTTTTAAGCTTTACAGCTTCTTCAATCTTCCCTTTGTTCTTGAGGATCCTCGACAGCGTGGATTTGGGAATATTAAACTATTTCACAGTTTTCGAAACGGTTTTCGAAATCAGTTTTCGAAAGGTCGTTGTGGTCAAGTTCTTGAATGATTTTTACTTTCGTTGCGAGTGAAAGTGCATTGTGCTGCCGTTTTCTTGGTTCCATCTCGAATTCACGACGAGACGCCGTTCGCTGCTCGGCGTGCGCTGACATGTGTGATCGCTGCATTGGCTTGGCTAGGCTAGCTTCGGTATATGTTTCATGGTTACAAGACTGCCGTGGCCATTTTCGTCGTTCAAGGATTTTTGCTCATTTTAGTTCTATTTAACCGATGTAAGCGAAAAAAACGTTACAATTACCTGAAACTTTTATCATTATATATATAGGAGACCAACCAAATGTGCCTAGATAGTTTTGTTCATGCGACTTTTCCATTTAACCCATTTTACCGAGTTTCGTTTAATATGAGTCCACTGTATACGCATCAGTTACAAAATACTTGTGTACAGGTGAGGATGTGGCATAGTAAGTAAATCACAGATAGGGGCAGGTTCAGTGTAATTGATTTTCATGAATTCTACTTTAAAAGGACTGACAAAATTGATGTTACTGTCCAGTGGTCAAAGGAGAAATAACGAAATGTGTCCAAAGTGCAGCTTTGATATCCAACTCAGAAAGATGCATCATTGCATCCTGTCCCAGGTTCTCAACCGTATCGGTGTTGGACGTTATTAGAGTAGTCGAGCGAAAGTGCGAAAACCAAGATGATGATGCCCCCTTCGCACTTCACAATGCCCTCCACTTACTGTCCTTGTGGCACAAGTAACTTTTAAATAAATTATTTGCCACAAGCCACAAACACTTTGAAAAGTTTTTGGATATTTGCGTTTGGTGGCATGTACTTATTTGAGTCAAATTGGCACACAATTTAGCAAAGACACAAGTCTATAAGAGTCACAATCACTGGTCACAATCACTGAACTGTGCAGGCGAAACGAAGATGCCGACATCAGACAGCTTCCACTCTACGTCGACGATGACATCGAGCACAATGCACAGTTCTGAGGAGAACACTCAGGAAGCGTCATTCAGGCGCCACGACTCTCATCCGTCCACAGCGTCTGGTGCCGACGGAGAAGAAGCTGCCAACGAACGTGCCTTCCAGGCAGAGCTAAAAACCTTCCGCAGCTGTGATTCACTCCTCAGTATTGCTGAGGGATCTTACACGGGCCTTGGCAGGCATCGAGATGGCTCCCATATTGGTATGCTTGTTCGCGCGTCTTCACACTGGTGTTGCTATAGAAGAAGAGCTAGTTCTTGGGCGAGTTGGTGCCTGTGTTTGCAAATCATGTTACTTCTGATGCAAAGGTAAAAAAAACAGTAAAGGACAGTAAAGCGACAGAGAAGCGCTCCTCTGTTTCTTTACTATGTACTTTCTCATGTTTTATCTATGCGTTAGAAGTAACATGTTACTATAGAAGCTCTTAACAAAGCTGACTGATTTCATTGCTGTTTATTACAGCATTTACAATTAATTTGCTTGTTTACATGTTGCATGCACTCGTACCGTTTAATTCTTTGTGGCACAAGATGCTATTTCGTCGAGAAGATGGCATAAAACACGTGTCAGTGCATTGCATAAGCTTGTGGAATGACCCTCAATGGGTCTGCTCCGAGGCAGGCATGCGGCTAATCAGCGAAAAAAGAATAGTAAAGAAAGCGCATATGCGCACTGCAGTTTCAGCGTACACAAAGAAGACGAGGAGGAAACGGGAAGACAGAAGCACACACAAAGTGCAGAACTTTCTCATCCTGTCTTCTTCACACAGTTTCAAATTTTGCTGAATCTATAATTCGGCCTGCATGCCTCACCACAAAACATGGATAACTGTAAACTTTCCTGCCAGCATGAAACCAGCACAGCTGCATAAGAAAAGTGTAACAAGTTTACGTATGAGGTGTAACACTACATTGAAAGGCAGTTGACGCTGTAGAATGTCTTTTGCGTACTGTTGTGTGCCACTCATCGTCGCAAGGGTAGAATGCGACATGAACTGCGTGGTATGACAAATTAGGGCTGCTTCGTTCAGTTTCACTTTTACGCAAGTCTTAACTGTTTTCAGTACGTGCAGGCTTCTATGGCCATCAGCCTAGCTCCTGCACTTAAGGTCTTGTCATCTTGTGAACTTCAGCGTCATTTGTACAAATTTATTCACCGCAAGTTATCTGCGGGGTTTCGAATCGTTGAATCTGTCCAGCGCTGTATTTTTTTCTAGGTGTCTGCAACTGGTGTAATAATTTGCTACCAAGCGTGAAGATTTATTTTCAGTGGCCAAGCGATATTCGGGAGTCCAGGAAACTGCCTTGCTAATGAAAGAGAGAGTGCAGGAGGCAAGCATGATGGCTCTGAAGTTGTACACATCCATTGTTGCAACACCAATAGTGAATTGAGCATTAGAAGATTTGCGAGATGAGCCATGAAGCACATGAAGTTTCATTCATCATTACATGCTGGCTGATGTTCCTGTTGTCAGTAAAATGTTCAAACAACTGAGCAGGTTCTGACAATTCACCACCCATAGTTCAAGTCTATTATTGTATAGCCCAGTGCTTGTTTTGGAGATCTACAAGTGCTAGTATTTTCACGTACACTCAGCGCGTGTCGCATGCATGCAGCCTACATTTACGGTACGCCTATACATTGCTTGATCCGGGTGTACTTATGATGATATTTATTTTCAAAGACATATCCGGCAGAGCTATTTTCGTTTCTCCCATCTCTGTCTTCTTCCCTTTCTCTCTTTCGGCATAGCCATTGTGTACCAAATCAGGAGGGTGGACCTGGAGGAAGGCTCATCAATCTACTGCCTCTGGGTGTCACGTGACCTCGAGGTGGACAGTTGCCCACCACAATACCCTACTCCATCCTCTCCACTTCGATCCTTGACGCTCGGCTCAGTCAGCTCCGACACAGAGGCCTCTCGAGAGGACATCAGTGATCATGTGAGGCATTTCTTTCCATCCCTTGTTGTGGCTTTATCTATGCTCTGATCGCATAACAAGCTTCTTAGATAGACCTTGACAGGTGCGTAGCCAAGATCTTTTATTGTAGAAAGGCGGGGGGGGGGGGGGGGGGATAGTATTTATGTGCGAATTCCAGGGGGTAAAGTAGGAAACACTCCAGCACACATCTGGACCTTGAACAAGGTTTCGAGGATTTTATAGATGCAGTAAGTCAATTGTGTAAGGGCAGACAATAATTGCTGCATTCACTGAAGCTGTAAAGAATTTTATTCAGATATAAAACATCGCAAATCATTTAATATCCCTTTGCTATTTCTCCTGCTAGCCAAAGATGCAGAACAGTGCCACATCTGCTACCCTTGTAACAAGCATAAGCTGCCACAAAAGTTTTTAGGACATGATGTTTTTGAGAAAGCTAGGTTACTGCAAAGTCAAGGCATAGCATTCAATTCAATGTTTCAGTGTGTGGAGATTCTGACATTCTTCTTGCAAATCCAAGCCGTGATCTTAGTGTCTGCAATGTTATTATATTGGCAGAGAAATGTATCCAGGAATGGAAACCTTACATGAAAGATTACTTAAGGAGAGATGCTACTTGGGAAAAAAAATGTTTTTGTAATGTATAAAGCCTAGGGCGGGAGAATTTTTGCTGTTTACATTAGTTTTTATGCTGATTTTACATAATATATGAACAGTTTTGCAGTAAGTTGCATACATTTAGCTTTGTGCCATGACAGTGCGTAATATATAGCTCTTTTTGATTGATTGATTGATTGATTGATTGATATGTGGGGTTTAACGTCCCAAAACCACCATATGATTATGAGAGAAGCTGTAGTGGAGGGCTCCGGAAATTTGAGGGACTGCAACAAATATGTTTTGTAGTTGCAAGTTACGAAATGCATTGATTTTTATGGACATTCGCTAGTGCTTCGAAAAACATTTTGTCGCGGTAAGAATTTTGTATTCTCGGGATTTCGTTATCACGGGTTTTGACTGTAGTAGTGGTTGATTGAGGAAATGACGCTAATTTCGGCTGCCCTATAGGCAGCACGACGTAGTGTCAGTGGAAGTGGGAAATAAAGAGTATAGCAGAAGAGGAAGAGAGATGAAGTCTCGTCCATTAATGCAGGAGGTCGTTGGGGAAGAAAGGTCAGTAAGTTGCGGGCACTCAACAGAAGGTGGTGATCTCAGTCGCCTTCACAAACTCCAAGAGGCTTTGGAATGGCTCATATTGCTTTACAATAACTGTACAATGCAAATAATTAACAAGAAAATGTGTAGAAGACGTTTTAATAATGAACAAGAAATCATGTAATGTGAGTAGTCTTAAAGTGCTCAGCTCTTACTAAGTGCTTAGTTTAGGTTCATAATAACTATATAAATGATATCAGGTTTGAAAGACAATAATTTTACTCCTCACAGGTCAACGAATGTGTGGGAAAATTGTCATTCCAACGTGGTCATCAGAAGTGCCAAAACTATGATATCTGATCTCGAGAAGTTGCTCATAATTCCATCTTAAGAAAAACACATTTTATACTTAGAAACGAAAGCTCATCTATGTGGCAAAAATGTGCTTTTTAAAACGATTTCTTCCATCATGAGAGTTTGGGAATCATGGCTATTTTGAGCATGTGGCTTTGGGGAACTCCTTATGGGAAATTTATTGGCAACAGCCAGGCGACAATTTGCAGGGGACTCTAGACCATCAGCATGTTATAGTTTTTAATAGTAACCTTGAGCTCTTTAATGGTGATTTTAACCTACGTCGAGCTTAATTACAACTTTGATATTTTTTCATTAAAGTATATAATCTTGTGAAATCAAGCAAAAACAAAAATATGTAATTTTAGAAAAGACATGTGTTTTTCGAGTTGCATCAACTAGAATACCAGTACTTTGATGATAATGCCACGCCCCGTCCCGGTGGTCTAGTGGCTAAGGTAATCGGCTGCATTTTCGATGGACGCGGAACTGTTGTAGGCCCGTGTGCTCAGATTTGGGTGCACGTTAAAGAACCACAGGTGGTCAAAATTTCCGGAGCCCTCCACTACGGCGTCTCTCATAATCATATGGTGGTTTGGGGACGTTAAACCCCATATATCAAATCAAATCGATGATGATTTCAGGGTCTAGTGCGTTTTCCCGTTTTTGTCTCGCCAATATTTTTGAAATAAATTGGCCCTGCCACAATCTAACCGATGATCTTTCAACTGATTGCAGAACTTTTTGCTGTCTTTTCATGCACACCAGATGGAGCACAAAGGCTCTGCCCAGCATGAGGAGACTGCCGAGTCTGAGTACACAAGTGGACTTTATGCTGAGCATTACACAACCTTGCAGCAGATCGGCAAGGGTGCTTATGGATGTGTCAAGATGGCATACCGCAACTCAGACCGCCTCCTTGTAAGTTGCTCAAGTGCTGATACTTAAACATGAGCCCTATTTGCGTATGCCTAAAAGGGTACTAGTCCTCATAAATCTTTTGTGTTTCTGTTGCTACTATTTTCTGGGCCTGTTCAAATACAAGCAGTGTGTTTTCAACAGTCCTGTGCAGTTATTGATGGCTCGTGGGCACCTTGCCATTTCAGTACGAGACGCAGGAACAATGATGAATTGCATAGACTTGTTCCTCAATCTGCGAATATAAAACCATGCAGTCAGCATTATCACGTAAAATCTGATGTTCAAAATGCCGTGCAGCATCTGAAATTTTAATGATTGTTGGTACAGATAGGCAAGTGCAAAGTCTTGGAGGCCGTGCCACAGTAAAGTGAACAAAGAATTTCAATTGGGTAGATTTTTTTAGGACTTGTCAAAAATTAGTTAACTATAATTGACATTTCTGATGTACTTATGTAATTATAGGCGCATGAAAAAGATTTTTCCTTCACAGCAAGCAGCGGAATGTTGGGGTGCACATTATTTATTTCATTGTAGCAAGACATTGCAAATCAACGAAAGCATTGCCAGCCAAATTTTACTCTCAGTTAACTATAATTGACATTTCTGATGTACTTACGTAATTATAGGTGCATGAAAAAGATTTTTCCTTCACAGCAAGCAGCAGAATGTTGGGGTGCACATTATTTATTTCATTCTAGCAAGACATTGCAATTCAACGAAAGCATTGCCAGCAAAATTTTACTCTCAGTTCTGTTCAATATTTTTTTTTATGTTCATGCTCATTATATCACTGTTTTACTGAAAAATTTAGCTAGTTTGTTATGCATGGGCATGACTGTTCAAGTGCAAGTTGAAGGGCAAAAAAAAAAAGACAAGAGGGCAACTGTGAGGTAAGTTCTGCAGTTCGAAATCGGCTCTTATTACAGCTTCTACATATCTTAAAATAAAAGTAAAACAAAGTGAAAAGTAAATGTTTGAAAGGCAACATATTTAGTCCTTGTACAAAAGTACAAGGAATAAAATGCAGCAAAGTCTCACATAAAGCTACAGTGAAGTTAGACTCTTATGAAGTTTGACTCTTAATTTCATGCACCATGGCTTGTTGAAGTTGGCAGATGTGTCAGGCTTTCTGTGCTGCAGTTTTCTCACTCGTGTTACTACATGTCAGGTGATCACCAAATTCATCCGTAAGAGCAAAGTATATGAAGAGAGCTGGGTGCACGACCAGATGATGGGGAGAGTGGTGCCCCTGGAAGTGAGCCTGCTTACAACGCTCAGCCACCCCAACATTGTGCGGGTGTTGGACGTCTTCGAGAACAGCTCCCACTTCCAGATGGTCATGGAACGCCACGGGGCTGGCATGGACCTTTTCGAGTTCATTGACAGGGCACCTTGCCTTGATGAGCCTCTCGCCTCGTACATCTTCAGACAGGTACGTGAAGTATTCAGCAACTGTCGATGGTTACTAGGTACTTCATCTCATTACAGTAAAGCCCAATCGATAAGATCGCGGTCGGTACGAATTTTGAGTTGATACAAATTTGTAATATCCCTGGCCAGATGCTTCACTTACAATATGCATAAGATAGGCTGATCTAAACATGTTTCCATGCTGCTACGGATCATGCATATGCATGAGCAACAGTGGTGGCAGAGCCAGCGGAGCATCTGACGTTGACAAGCTGGCACAGCAATATCTGGGCGGAATCCATAGTCGTCAAGTGGCCGTCTACGTGGCGAGTTGTGCAGTATCCGACAGGTCCAATGCGAAAAAAGTGGAAGTGACTATGACAGCAGAAGCTAACAGTGAGGATGGTGAAGCGAAGCTTGTTACTGAAACTGAATCTTCGAGTGCTATTGGTAATTTTATCAATGTTTAAAATGAATTTGCAAAACTGAAATATCCGAGGATCTTTTTCCAAAATTTTCTGCGGGTTGTAGCTTGAGGCATGCGTTTAGATGCAGTGGCATGGATTATGCTTGAGAAAATACGGCAAGTATCATGATAACTCCCAAACAGCCCGTTGTGATTCTCTTTCGGCACATACTACTTTGTGAGGTTCATCGAATGAGTGATATTCTGAATATACCAAATTACTCTTCATTAGTTGTGAATGAGACAGTGGTTTAGCCATAACTTTACTGGATTGCCCTGCAATATGCTGAAAATGCTTGACATGACTGAGCTACATTGTTTGCATAGTTCTTCTATAGAAATAAAGTGGAGTTTCTTGGCTAGAAATTGTACATTTCATGTTAGGTAACCATTTTCTAAACTCTGCCAAGACATGCTGCCACATTAGTGGTTGCTTGTGGGGTTTTCATTCTGGATGACAGTATAGTAGAAGCTTTTTTTTGCACATTCCTTTAATGCATATGCCCCTTGTATTGTATCTTCTCAAAAAGTTTAGTGGGAAAGCTTTCTCTGGTACACAGATGGTTAGTTAAGCATCTTCTAACCCGATATATTTGACTGTTTATGTTGTCAGTGAATCAATCTAAGCTATTGAAAGGGTTCTATCTCAGCAAATGATCGGCTGTAATAAATATTGCCAGCACTACAGGCTTTAGCATGTACATTGATGCGCTGAATACTGAAGTCTCTTTGGTCTTAAATGGCTGGGAGTGAACAAGTGAAATTATCACCCATCATTTTACTGCAGTTCACGTTTTTGCAACCCCGTTTCTACATTGCCAGGTGGTGAGTGCCCTGTCGTATCTGCATGGTCTGCACATTCTTCATCGTGACGTCAAGGATGAAAATATCATCATCAACGAGCACTTCAATGTGAAGCTCATCGACTTTGGTTCTGCAGCGTTCATGGCTCCTGACCGTCACTTTACCACATTCTGTGGCACTGTGGAGTACTGCAGTCCTGAGGTACTGTGCTGCTGGAAGCACGCTTGATCACTCTAGAAAGCTTTTGTGCAGGAAATAGCTGGGCACGCAGCTGCGTCACTTTTACGCAACAAGCAATCATGATGCTAAATGCCAGTCGAATGCTTGCCTTCAGATATCTTTAGCACTCGGTGACTCTTTTGAGAAGGCAAAATAACACTTGGCAAACTCGTTTTTTTTTTTTTTTTTCAGAGCTTATTAGTTTAAAGTACTGGGATCTTTGATAACGCTGCATGTCAGACTTGCATGTCATGCACTATATTGTTTCTGCGTATGCAAAGTGCATGTTTGGGTTAATCGGTTAAGCACACAAAGACAGAATGTGTAAAACATAAAAAGAGGGATTAAAACACTGCACTGATACCACAACTAGTTGTTTTCAGAAGAAAGTATTTGATGCAACTAATTATAACTGAGAAGGATTGTGTTATGTGAATGTTCTTACATGCTTTATTCTCCTACGCCCCCTCCCTCCCCAGGAAATCACTTGGAAGCTGGCGCAGTGTTCTTAGCTCATTTTCTTTCGTCCAAGTTGTACGCTCTACAATCTTAGTTTAGCCTTTATAAGCTTGTCTGCTTATTAGTTTCCTAGTACCAGTAGGTGCATTATCTAGCATGTTTTTTATATCAGCTGATAACTTCAACATATCGTGGCTGTACAGCTTTGACTGATTGAATCTCGTCTTCCTCTTCAGGTCTTGCAGGGCAACCCATATGCAGGGCCCGAACTGGAGATGTGGGCGTTGGGTGTGACATTGTACACACTCATATTCGGGGAGAACCCTTTCTTTGACGTGGAGGAAACAATCGCAGCAATGCTCAAGCCACCCTATGCAACTTCCAGAGGTGAGCTAAACAAGTGCACTAAAGAGCCAGAAAGAGGGGCTCTTCCAACTGAATGCCTCAAATTTTCTCGGTCACTCTAGGAAACTGTGGTGTTAAAATAATAATCGTAATAAAATTTAAAAAATTAAAAGGTGGTGGTTCAGGGCTGCTTCTACTTTGATCGTCATGTCATGTATGGGCATCTATTTGCCAATTTTGTTAGTTTGAATTGTTTCTCATTCGTCCTTGCCAAACGTCTGTCCAAAATTGGAATAACGAGCTTTTACTGTTAGCGTTCAGCTTTGGTTTGTGATGACTGGCATGCACAACCAGGAACAAAAGTATATGGACCATTTCCCCTGCGCCATCTATTGGTGAGCCGTCTGGTGTCAAGAACATTTCTCTGACAAATTCCATTGTAGTAATGCTTTGGACAGCTATTCCATCAAAGCAGTGCCCTGTGCAGGAGACTACTACTGATCAGGAGATGTACACAGCGATTTCAGCTCGCGCTTCCACAGTCTATATACTTTTGCTCACCAGATTTGTGATTTTTGCACAACTTCCTGGTTTTTGTCCCGGTGCAGATCTTTGGGAGCTGATTTCACGGCTCCTTCATCCTGAACCGCGACAGCGCTGCACTCTGGCTGAGGCAGAACGCCACCCATGGACTACCCAGCCTGTCTGCCCTGAGAGCTACCGCTTTGAGGACGTCGTCCATGCCAGTGAGCGACTGCTTTTTCTCTTCAATTTAACTCCGTGGAGCTCGCCACAACGCTGTGCTTTTTATTGATTAATGATTATGTACCTGAGATTATGTAGTGGTTAAAGTGCTCGGCTGCTGGCCCAAAAGTCCCAGGAGCAATCCCGTTTGCTGCGGTCGCATTTCGATGGACGTCAAATGATGGAGGCCCCCCTACTATGCGTTGTCGGTGGCCGTTAAAGATGCTGGATAGTCAAAATTTCCAGATTCTACTGTCATGGCTTGCCTCACAACATATGGTAGTATTGGTGCATAGTCTTGAGAAGAAGTAGCGGTGCAGCACACGCGTGTCATCTAGTGCCTTCGATGCCGCCAACATGATGTTCTCCAGTTCATCGACAGATTCATTGTTCTAGTCTTATCCTCTTCATTCACGGCGTTGACAGTGTGGTTATTTGAGAACTTTTTCGCTGCCATCTCTTCCGAGTCTGAATTCACTTAGTCACAAGATGACCCTATCGAAACTTGCAATTTCCAAACAATATTTTATATATCTCTTAACGGGCAAATTTGTTATAGCTTGGTCTTGACTACATTGGCATTCTATAGGGAATCTTCAAGGGAAATCACAATTTGCTCGTCATAGCCTGTCTCATAATGAGATATTACAGTGCTCTGTCTGTTCTGCAATATCCATAAATATTGCGCCTGTTTAGTTACACTCTGCTTTTTAAAATAGACAGCGACCCTATAGTTGATGCCTGATGCCTCGGTTCTTCAAGTGCACCAAAAATAATCTACCTTATTTACTCGCATAATAGGCGCACTTTTTTTTTTTTTTCAGAAAATTCGGCTCGAAGTTAGGGTTTGCCACATACGTGGTGTAAAGTTTTCGAAAATTTTTTGACTCGGTTTTCACACTTTAAATCTGCACATCTGTCAAGTAAAAGGCAACTTTATCGTTTATCAATTAATTCAGCATAAAACAGACGTATCTACATATCTTTTAATGAACAAGTGAGAGCCGTCAACTGCGCACATTTATGTAAAATTTATTTACACAAAAGTCATAGATGTTCCTCCTTTCTCTATTCGGAGTTCGAGACGGAGAGCAAACAGTCATCCTCGCCAAGGGGGGATTTGTTTTCGGTGTTTGAATCATCCGCATCTCACAACATGTCATCCTCACTCGCACCCAGTGCGTTCGAGATACCCGTCTTCTTTAAGCTTTTCCTGACGACTTCGTCGGAAATTGTCTGCCATGCTTCCACGATCCAGGCGCACTACATTTCCACAGGTGGCCTCTTAATCTTACCACCTAGAGTCAGCTGATGTTGTTCTCCAGCCATCCAGGTGGTGTGCAGCCTTCGAGCATTGTCCTTGAAAGGCTTATTCAAAGACACGTCCTAAGGCTTATGGTGACCCCGCTACTAACTGCAGCGGACGATCACCGCGGGCTCACGCTTAGCGAGTTACAGGGCCGCTACTCCGTTTACTCGCGTGTAGCGCACCGCTCCGCGCGCGCTCAACTAATAAGGCGTTTAGCGCGGCGCGGCAAACAGACAGTGTTCTAATGCAAAAATACACAACACTTTATTGCCTCTGGCGGCACCCCGAACAAACAGAACAACGTCCGCCCCCGGGACGCGGGTAGCAAAGGCACCCGCACGTGGACGTTCACAATAAGGGGAAAACCGCGTGCACGTCGCAGCTGGCAATGGCGAGCTTTGACACGCCGTTCAGGAAAAGGTCCCTCGCGGCTATGCTGCGCACTCTCACGATGGCCACTGGGCCTGGTCGCGAGTGTTAGGGCAAACCTCGTACGCGTAGGCCTACGGCAAGTGCGGCTCGTTGTGGTACGACCACTTCCAGCACTAGGCACCGCTGTGGGCTTAGCGTACGCTACCGAAGCTAGCACTCAAGTAAACACGCCTGCCGAGGGGCCCAAGGCCACCCCAGGCAGGCTACAGTCCGGCGATTCCCAAAGGGGACGCGGACGAAGGAAAACACGTGCTTACCCGGCGCCGACCACGAAAAAAAGAGCGCTCCCTCGGCGCGCGCGTGCCGCACCTGCACGTGGTGCCATCTATCGCCACGTGGTGTTAACAGAGCAGAAAAGCAAAAGGGTGTGGCCCTGTGGCGGAATGCCCGCGAAATGGTCGCGGGCGCGCCTCAGATCTCTACAGGCTGCAGTATCGATATGAGGCCATCCAGAATCACTGCCAGATCTGTGCGCAGCTCCTTTAGCTCATCTCGTACGTGGTCTACTAGGTGCCCACGAAAACTGTCCAGGACAAGCATGGGCGGGAACAACAGGCCACCCGGCCGCCGACCCCAGACTGTTTTCACCCAATTCACCATGAGTTCCACGCTCATTCAGCCTTTTTCCTGGACTCCCACGTAGATGCCTTGAGGGAAATTTGCTTTAGGGAGCGTCTTACGTTTAAAAATAACGTAAGGCGGTAGCTTGCGCCCATCCACTGTCACTGCCAGCATCACGGTGCATTGTTGTTTATCAGCGCCAGACGTTCTGATGATGACGCTCCATGCATCCTTCTCCTCCACTGCCGTGTTCCGCGGCATATCAAAGCAAAAGGGAGTCTGATCAGCATTGCTGATCTGGAACAAAATGAAGTCTTCCTGCTATCAGAGCTTTATAACGAAACGGTGGAAGTCCACCACTTTGTCCTCATATGCTGCGAGCAAGCGCTGGCACAAGGTGGTCTGCCTTCGCAGTGCGAGGCCATGGCGCCGGATGAAACGAGTTGTTCATCTGGAGCTGGCTTTAAACTCTTTTGCTCGCTGTGCTCAGGCTATTCTGCGCGCCTCAGTCTGCACAATATCCAATGACACAGCACAGCCGTCTTGTCATAGCTCCCGTATATGTCGGACCAGTTGCTCTTCGACGTTCAGATACCTGCCGGTCTTGGCACCACGGAAAGACCACGGTGTCTTTTTCGTCGCCTTAAGTTTGTCTTTTTGATCTCCCCAGTACCGAATACTGGTTTCTCCAACACCAAAATGCCTGCTTGAAGCCCGGTTGCCGTGCTCCAGTGCGTACTCCGCTGCCTTCAGTTTAAATCCAGCTGTGTAGCTTGAGTACTTCCCCATGGTGGAACCAAAGTTGAATACACGACCACAACATACGCACACCACTTGCAAAATAATGTTTTTTTCTTTTTCTATGATGGTGGTGATGACGATCGAGCTTCCGGCATTATACACGTGACCTCCAAGGAGCACGGCGATTTGGGGGGTAGTATCAGTAATTGATGGAACAGCCTTTTTTTTTCGCTCATGGACGCTTTTTTAAGTTTTATTTCGACAAACATGTCGGTTAGTTTGTTGCACTTTAAATTTTTTTTATTTGCTCGTCGATTTGCCTTTTTTTTTTTTTTTCAGAGTACAGGGACGGCCTTCCGACTGTACCGCTGGGGGTAGAATCGTTTCTGACCACGGCCAAGTTCGGGGTGCACCTATTATGTGTAGAATTAAAAAAATCGAATTTGCTGCGACCAAACTAGGGGTATGCGTATTATACGAGTGCGCCGATTATGAGAGGAAATACGTTATATGACATCATGCGCGCCATTCAAAACACGTCAAGCACAGTGCAATCTCAGACACAAAACAAATTCATAGTGTCACTGATAGCAGAGGCAGTCGCCATCAGGGCTTGTAGTGGTTGTTGAAATCCTCGAGCCCTGCCGCGGTGGTCTAGTGGCTAATGTACTGTGCTGCTGACCCGAAGGTTGCGAAATCAAATCCCGGCTGCGGCCGATTAAGGCGGAAATGTTGTAGGCCCGTGTGCGCAGATTTGGGTGCACGTTAAAGAACCCCAGGTGGTCGAAATTCCCGTAGCCCTCCACTAAGGCATCTCTCAAATTCATATGGTGGTTTTGGGACGTTAAACCCCACATATCAATCCATCAATCAATTGAAATTCTTGACAATTCTGAAATTCTAAAATGAAATTTTCTGGGCCTTGAATATTGTAAATGAACTTTTGTGAATATTGTGAATGAGCTTTTAGCATATGCCTCATAAATTAGGCCTGTGTGGATGTTTGGGCACATAATACAGTAGTTGGATTCTCTTTGACATGACTTTAAAATTTTCAGAAGTTTGAAGTAGTATATTCAAAACAGTCGAGAGATCTATCTGATTGCACATAACCTGCCTGAAAAAGTTGCTTTCACTGCAGTGTGAGGTATAGGTCACTATAGCATGAAACAACTTGGAGTTTTCTAAGCATGAGAAGGCAAAAGCCTCCGTGGACCTTCAGTTGCCGTGCTGTTTTGTTAATCTCAAATGAGCCCGAAACATACTTATGCTCTAAAAAATTTGAAAACAGAAGTGCCAAATATTGTGTTGCCAAGCTCTGGGTGCTGGTGGGGAAGACTGGTAAAGATGCCACGGCAAAAGAGGCTTGGACAACTCAAAATTCAGCTTGCCTTAACTATACCATTAGGAGGAAGCAGCTGTGGATGTAAAGGCCGTCATCTTTTGCATCACTTTAAACTGAACATCTAGTTTACTTGCAAGGACTGGCTGTAGCACATGCTTCTCATTGTTGCCCCAGCTATGGTAAAATGGAAAACTTCAAAGCAATCATGTTTGAATTTTTACTAGAAAATACAGTACGGTGGTGGGGAGAAAAAAAAATGGTAGCCCAAAAGGGAGGTATACTAAACATGTTCCGTACATACATGGTGTCTTCCACAGTTAAAAAAAGTGGAAATGCGGTACGTATGCAATGTTTTCAGCTGGCAACTGTTTAGGCAGCGTTTGCACGGCTGTAGAGAGGAAGGTCGAGGGTAAGGAGCAAGGCAAGGATGTACGCAAAGTGAATCACAGGGCCGCTGGTGCGGTGTACAACATTCCGCTTTCGTGTGCGAAGCGTTATGTTTGACAAGCTGTGTGTTGTGTAAATAACAGGCTGATGGATCACAAAGCTTCACTAAAACGACAACTCTGTGTGCTAATGTTTCTTTGTACTGTAGTCAATGCGGCTGCGTGCCTGTTCAGTGATACAACAGGGAAATCTTGATTAATAAATAGGGTAGCATGTGAAATCGAAGAAGCCTATTTTATCAACAAAGGAGGCGATGCTTGGGTCGCCATACCCTCGGTAACATTACTTGCTGCTGAGTCATCTTTCCTGGAAGGGCATCATTAAAACAATATTTGCTCATCTAACCGTTTGATGAACACATGTTCATCTGACTGCTTATATTTATGCTTATTGTTGCGATAAATTCTCATTTGATAGTTTGTGCCGTGTTCTGTATTTCTTTTGCTGTCTTTTTTGTGCATTACCATGTTAAGATGAGTTACCAACTCGCCCAGCAGTATGTGCTTCTCTAGAAAACAACTGTAATAATGCATACCATGGACCAAGGTATAGAGACAATGCTGAACTTATACCGCAAAAAGGTCTTTTGGAGCATGTACAAGTTGCACAAACTGCCAACAGATACAACATGACTTGCATTTTGAAGTTCTATATTAATATGGGTTGCAGGGCAAGCACGAAAGTGCTGAAAGAAAAGCATATGGCAGGCGAAAAACGGAAGGCAAAGAGGGCCAACACGAGCGCTCGTGTTGTCTCTCTCTGCCTTACGTTCCTCGCGCCTTCTGAATGCTTTTCTTCCAGCTCTTTTGTGCTTGCCCATATATTCTTTAGCATTGTGTGGCCACAACTCTCCAACACTTGTGTGGTCTGTGCTATTTGTCAGTGTTTCTTTTTTCGTTAGTGAAGGTTGCAATGCCTCTTCATGGCAGACTTCGGTACTTTGCACATGTGATGTCTGCTGATAGTAAATTTGTCCCCGTAACATTTGTGTACTTCTCAGACATCCTGTCCTGAGTAAAAGCATAGTGTGCCTTGTGTTTTCGTGCAGCCCCTGAGGAGATAAACCCGTCCAAGTACTTCCATCAAGACAGCCCGATATATTTCAGCTGCAGCCTCTACGACCTTAGCAAAAGCGACGGTCCATCTTCACGACACCGGAGCCTCAGCTGCGCCAGTTCCGTGACTGGCCATGCGCACTCCCGTTGCTCCTCAACTCATGAACAAGCTACAGCATCTGCTGCCGCCCCAACACCCAGTGTGATCTCGCTTGCTGGGCCATGTGAGACGGCTGGCTCGGTAATTGCCTCTGAAACAGCAGCTTACAGCACTGAAGACATTTCAAGGGGACTGGAAGCCTGCTCTTAAGTTGCTTGTGTCAGGTGCCGAAAAATGATGCATGGAATACGAGTCAGCCTGCTTGCTACTTTAAATTGATCATTTAGTTTACTTGCAAGAACTGACAGTTTCGTGCAGAGAGGCCAGCATTGTCGTTGCTGCAGGAGCGACATCTCCTAATGGCATCAGAGGACTGGAGGCATGCTTTTGAGTTACCTGTAGGGCATTCTGGAGAACATTCGTTAAATACTAGTGTTATAAATTCATCTATTGGTGCTGATGCATCTGCAAAGCTGATTCTCAGTGGCACATAGCCTGTGCAGCTGCTGGGACAGCTACTGCATAGCTTCAAAATGCCTTCTTAGTTGTATTTCTGTGTCCTCCCTTTATTTCAAACAATCTTGAAAAATGTGGATAGCTTTTTTTACACATCATTGACTTAAAAATTCACTGGCATGTTTTTGTTGGTTTGTGCATCTTTCATGAGGCTCCCGATTTGGTTTTAATGAGATTGCTTAATCCAAGACAGCAGCATTTCTTAAAAATGTGCTGCACCCTTTGATGTAATATTGTACCTCTATGCTCACAGAATAGAACGCAGCTGTGAAATTGGAACACTTCATTAGGGCAATTACTCAAAAGTACCACATCACGTTCCTGCATATGTTCCTGTATATCTGGTTGCTTAGGTGATGCAGACATAGATCTAAAAGTATATGAGCTAAAAATTATGTCCATGTTATGCAAAGTACTGACTGTAAATGACAGTCACCGCATCAGTTAGCCCTAAATTTACTTATTTTATTCTGTCAGCACCGTGTATTAGATTGGTTGACATGTTTAGATTCTGTTCTTCTAGTTCAGACCTAGTTGTGTTAAAATTTTTTTCGGTCACACTGCAGCAGCGAAATTGCGTAGCAAAGCCAAGCCTATCAACTCTGACAAGAGCTAGAAGTTTTCATACTTAATTGTTACAAAAGGCTTGAAGCATTGTCAAGCAAATGTGAACTTGGAGAGTGTAGACGTCTGTGTTTTAAATACTAGAGAATGAGGCAGCTTGCCTACCAGGCAGCTGTAATCAATCTGCTGTTTGCGTATCTCCCGACCGAACCTTGGCATGCGAGTTTGTAGACATTTCCAACTTTGTGCCATTCGTCAGAACATGCAACCAGGTATCCGGTGCTTCTGTTTAGAATTGCAAAATGTGGATGTTGGAATGCACTGAATTTTGTTTTCAGTTACGCTCTTCTTTTTCCGAGCTTTGTCTCATAAATTGAATATTTGTTCAACGTTATACCACACTACACAAAAGTGATGATGCTACAGGTTTACTATATAAATTTGGAGCAGCATGATTAGGTTCTAGAGACACGCCCATCGGTAGTCAAGTGCTCTTTCTTCATCCTAGTTGCACTCAATACAATACAATGCCTATTCCTTTGCTTTACAATTTTCTGAAAAGTAAATGCAAGGAAGAGATAAAATGTGGACCAATCCAGACAGTTCATCATTTTAATGGGTGCAGCAGTTGTTTTGAAAGTCCAGAAAGTTTACTTGTGACTTTCATGTTCTTTACATAAGTGACTGTAGGTGTTAGCCACACTGACACGTCCATTCCAGGCTGAAGTCTATACAAGCCTTGGTATTGTTGCAAGTCAAATTGAATGCTTCTGCTTATTTTTTAACAGGTTCGTGGAAAGAAATAGTGTCTAAGTATTTGTTGTGACGAATTGTAAGCTAGCTAGTCGTTGACGAGGCACAAGAAGTTTATCTTGTGATAAGCACGGGCAAGTTGGACGGAAGTGTGTACATATCAGACAGCAGGTCCTTTGACTGCGATGCTTATTTTTGCTAGATGGGTAGCCTATAACTTTAGCATTCCAAGTTATTCCTTTTTTTTTTAGTGCTTCATGGCCACATAATATGGAGCATTCAATCAACACTCAAGTGTTGGACTACATCATAGGGTGCATCTGCTTTGCACGTCAAATACCGATTCTTTTACTCTTTCATCATGCAATTCTACACTTTAAGGTATGCATTCCTGCATTTAGATTTTCTGTGTGTGGCAAAAGTCTGCAAATATATTTTAAAGCTCAGTTTTAGTATAATAGTTTGGCATTCAAACATAGCTTAGTTTCTGAAAACAATAGTGTCGTGGCATTTTTTGAATCTTGAAAATGTTGGCTGGTTAGGCAGCTCTTCATTATTTAGGTGAAGCTAGTTGCACAAGCATAAGAGCAGCTTGCTTTTGCCTTCTTCTTGTAGCTGTGCTAGGTAGCTCGAAACATGCTGAGGTCCACTGACGACACACCCTTGGTTGACACATGGCATTTCAAGTGACAAAAAGATGTAACATTGACAACTGATCTTCAGCGATATAAACTTCTTTTAAAAAGCAGCTATCCTGTACCAAAATTGGCTGCGACAGCTGCTCGCATTTTCACTTCACTTATTTCCTGTTGTTTGAACCTGACTGTGGCAAAACATTCCATGTTTATTCAGTCTCTGCAACCAGGCATCCCCCACCCCTTACTTTTCTTTTAGTGGTTTCCTAGTTGAACCACTTGACACACACATCAGGGCTGCTGTGAATAATGAAATACCAGATTCTGAATGCAGTAAGTGAAGACAGTTGGAAAAATTGCATGCGTTCAAGCGTGCATACGGTTTTATGTTCCTTTCCTGTTTGACATGGTCGCCGTAAGAAAAAGTGTATTTTAATGTAAGGATTATCATTGAGGCAAAGAGTGTGGTAAAGTCCTGTTTGAGACTTGTACATATGTACGTACCGCGTGTATTTATTACTATAAATAAACACTATATTGTCAGAGCTCAGACGGATGTCTTTAGTGTCTTGATTTCTCATACTCTCACTGTGCCTCATCATTATCAGCAGATTGTTTTGCCTGGGCTGTCGGTGGTAGCAGTTCCCTAAAGAATGTGTATTTCTTATCTGAATTTTGGATGGTGTCCTGGCAGTGTTTGCTGACAGCAACGCTGATAGCGCATCACATATGAGTGTACAGCTGTGGTGTTCTCTTTTCAGTACTTTTCAATATAGAATACACTGTCCGCAGACAGTATATAGCATGTAGCTGATATAACATTGGTATCACATGTGATCGCACTGAGTTGAATGCAGAAAGCTTAATCTTTTGCCTTTGCAACAGCACTCAGGGAAATAGTAATCGCAACTGCACCTAATGGGCCTTTTCTGGGTAGTTAGTGTGCGCACGCACGCTGGCCTCGAGGAGGCATGCGCCATGATTTTTGGTGGCTGGAACGCTACCACACGTGTGGACCAAGTGACATCTGGCGCCACAAACATGCAAATGTTGGCCCCAAAAAGAGGCGCAAATGCAGGCCTCCGAGATTGCCTACCGGCATGTGGCGGACAATATCAGAGTCCAAGAGCCACCAGTTTTGATTTTGGCGACCTCTGCTTGGGGTGCTCTTCAATCAATCAGTTTTACTGTGTATCATACATATAATGGCTGGTTATTATTATACAGGTAGGACCCCAGAGCCCTTCGGACTAGGAAAAGGCGCATTGGTGTAGCTAGTGCACACATGTATATTCTCTATCCAAGACTGAAATGGCAGCGGTACGACTGTAATATTGCTACGTTATTTTAAGAAAAGTAACAATACTGCTTGCACATCGCTGTCCAGACCACACTTGGTGACATCTGTAATAGTTATTGAGACTGCACAGCAAGCATCTGGGGCCATGTGCTTGATGTTTGTGTGTTGGCACACTAAACTACTGTAACCTGAAAAGACATTTACTTGTGCCTATGAATTAAGACAAGTGTACACAGATAAATGGATGTGTTGTAACAGGCTGAATAAATATCTGGCTGTGTGTGTCACTCGTTAAAGAACTAGGGTACAGAAACAACATGGATATAGTTTGATTAGCTTGACAACTAAAATTTTTCACCCTGGTTAATGTAATAACTCAATAGTGGCTCATGCAGGTTGTCTGCTTCCAATGAGATATGCCGCTCCAGAAAATACCTAAGTGCCCTCTGTAAATAAAACAACGATGGAAGATATCTTTCCTTCAGAGGTGCAGTTTCTTGGTGAAAGTTCTTTTGGCATGGTTATTTTAAAAATAAGCACTTTGGGCAGCTATTTGGCCATCAGCTAGTACTATATGCATTGTAAGAAAATTAGTCAACAGTCAAACAAATGGCCAAAATAGTCAAGAAATGCAACACTACATGACCCCAGCTCAAAAAGAAACCTCGTGTGGCGCATGTGTGCTTGCGACTTAATGCTTAGAAAATTGAGCTTCTGTGCTGGAAATCTCGGGTTCAGTCCCATCACTGGACACCTGATTCCCGTGTTTTTTTATTTCTGTATTGTTCAGCAAGACTTCTATGTATAAAAGAAGTGACGGTCACCAAATTTAGGTTATGTTCGCTTTAAATATTGTTTTATGTAGTGTATTAAGCGGATTTGCAATTGTAAAAAGAATATTGCCGAGGTCCTTGCATCAAAGCAGAGCTGTATAAACTAAAAAAACAAAAATTTCAGTGTTGCTCTCGACTGCCTGCTTTATAATACATGGCAACAGTGGGCATCTGTGCATCTGTGTTGAACAGTTTTATGAGCCATAGTCACGGCTGTGTTGGCAAGAGCTCATTCTCCACTTTCACCAGAACTATGTGAATGCTAAATCTTCTAAATGTGAATGGCTGACAAGAAGTGAAAAAAATATAAAAGAACTTGTTTTGTAATATTAGAGCTAACTTCAACAATGTCAGTCTTTTTAACTGTAAGACTTTTTTTTTTCCTTTGTGCCAAAACAATCATCACTGCTGTGGCTATTGCCACTTCTATAGCCATACTATGGTCGAAAATAGGCTGTAGTAGCTTGGTGCAGATTTGACTAAGGATGGGCATTGTTGCTACTCAGGGGAATTTATTTGTGAACAATTCGTCTTGTTTCTCTTAAAAGTGTTTTCATTGAGGTCCGTGTTTCTTCCATTTTACATTGTTGTCAAAGCCTAGATTTCATCGAACAGATGAAGCTAGATCTTGTCACGACACTTTAAAAAAAAAGGCCCCTGCTCGAGAAGAAAGCTTGTAAGTGTTCTGATAGTACCGTGTATGCAGCAGAAAAACATTGAATTTGCAAAGAATGTTCATCAATAGCGAGTTAACCCTTATCTCTAGAAAATTTTAAATCTTTAGTAATAGATATGAAGGACAGACATAAGGGAAAGGAGTGGGTGGGAAAAAAATATAAATGTATACCATGCTTCAGAAACTGGCCCGAAAGCAATGCCATGAAGGAGAAACTATCGCAGAGATCTTTGATGAAGTGCATTAAAGGCTCAAATGCAAGCTGTCAGCTGTACTACCAGAATTTCCTTTTTTTTTTTTTTTTTTCAATGTGCAGCCAAGGGAACAAAGAAAGGGGATGTGGAAACCCGACGTGCTCGCGTCCCCGTATCGCAATCTAGCAAATCCCTACAAACTTCAGATGCTTTCTGCCCTGTCAGCAGTGGCTTTTTCAGTGCAAAAGCACTTCTTTCTTTCCTATCAAGATTTTTAGGATGTCTGGAAACAATCTATAAGCACGGCTATTTCACAACCAATGCAAAATTTGGCAATTGCCCAGCTGGACATGAACGGCAGTGTGGTATAGTAGATTGTACATATCTAGGACATCTCAAGGCCCATCCAAAATTAGTGCTTAAAATGATGACTTTGGCCAACTTCGACCATTGGTTGGTATAGCTGGACTTGGGCGAGAAATGGCTCAGCCCGTGCCCACACTGGGGAAAGGAGGTTTGCAACACTTCCTGGGACCTCTAAAGCTTGGGTAATTGATTGATTTGTGGGGTTTAACGTCCCAAAACCACCACATGATTATGAGAGACGCCGTAGTGGAGGGCTCCGGAAATTTTGACCACCTGGGGTTTTTTAACGTGCACCCAAATCTGAGCACACGGGCCTCGACATTTCCGCCTCCATCGGAAATGCAGCCGCCGCAGCCGGGATTTGAACCCGCGACTTGCGGGTCAGCAGCCGAGTACCTTAGCCACTAGACCACCGCGGCGGGGCGCTCTAAAGCTTGGGTAATCAACTTACAAAGTTGACATTTATTAACCTATTCTAACTGGATTAAACAAAAGAAAAAAAAAGGCTGGGCATTCACGTACTGTATGCTGATGATGGAGCAAAGCTAGGACCCAAAGTCATACCTGCCAAGTCTCCCGGATTGTCCAAGAGGCTCTTGAATTATGACCATTTCTTCTATTTAAATGGCTGTCATGAAAATCTCCCGGAAATCAAAATTTTTGCACGTGATCTGGCCGCATTGACAAAGATGCAAGTCAGTCCATTCCAGGATTTTTGCGAACTCACCGTATTTTATTATAAACGAATTTAAGAGGTGTTCATCTAAACGTACACAGTAGTCTCAGTGATGCGAAACCGCGGCAGATATGAATTCGAGAAATTCCCCTGCCAGATTCCACCGTATCCATTGGGCCAAAATTTGTATGTTCTGAACCCTTTCAGAAAACGCGGCGTGTGGTCTGAACTTCAGTACCGAAACCAAACGAGTGAAGGCCGACTGAGAGCAGCGTGCTCGAAGCTTCGGAAGTATGCATGCGACCAGGGCACGCATCGTCTTCTACAATGCATGTGGTTGTTGCCACAACCGCTGTGGACAAAACTACGGTCGTTCTTGACACAATCACGTATGGTGAAGATGTTACTGACAGTACTCCCAAAGTGTGTGCACATATGACGCTTGACCAGTTACAGCAGTGCTTCTTTCCGCAAACTCTGTGGACAAGATTCCAGCAGATGTGATCATAGATAGCATAAAACGACTTAATTTTGAAGGCACGTGCGCAGCCAACACAACCGCCGCGCACAAAACTGCGATCGCGGCGACGTAATGGCGATCTAGGAGCTCTGAGAGTATGTCGTCGCTAACGCAGCAATAGATTAAAGGCAGTAAGCGTTCCTATCCAAAGATCAACACTGCCTGCCCTTCTTCTTGTAGGCATGCACCCAGAGAATGAGGGGATGTTCCACAAGAAGGAGTAACCCTACATAGTTGGTTGTGCTTTGATGTCGCTCATCTACGTAGTCACCTGCACTCTCATATCGCCCACAGTAGCATGTGACACTGCGATAATTATCTGACATGACGTGTAGTTTGTAGTACCCTCTGTAATAACAGATAAATAAAAATTAATAGCAATAAAAGAATACACAAACAAAATGTGTGTGATTCTTATTTTTTTATTTTTTGTGAATCGCAGTGAGATGCAAGGTTAATCAGCCTCCGTTCCGCATGCGTTCTTTGCGCATCATACAGACGACACCCCTTACAATGTAACTACGCTCAAACCTCATTATAACAAGGCTGCATCTTACACAGAAATAAGTTTGTTATACTAGAAAATTCCTTATAAAACTTTATTCCCAAGACTATAGTTATTGCAGCACTATTCTTCATTTACTTCGTTATATGTATTTCGTTATACCCACGTTTGTTATACCGAGGTTTGAGTGTAGTTTTCTACCACATTCCAGCAGTCATTCTCATTTACCTTCCCACGTAGAACTAAATGTTCCTGCGGCACTTGCTGTAATACCACCAGTTTCACGTTCATATGAATGTCGCAGCTTTCATCCTCAGCAGTAGGTTAAAAGCCAAGCGATTGGCAAGCACGCATTCGGCATAGCTTGCAGAGACACCACTCGCGTCTCAGGGGGCTCAGGATGGTTCAGCCACGTCGTGCGGCATGAACTTCTGTGCAGAAGATGTGTTCATGCGTGGTTGTCGTAAGATCATTCCGCCCGT